AATCCAGCAGAATTACTGCACAAAAGGCTATTAGTATCATTCTGCAAAGCAGATGGCGCACACCACAAATTAAGTCCTGTTTGGATTTACATGATTCCTATAAAATTTCTTTGTTCCAAATGGGCATAAATTCTTGTCATTAATTTTCATTGAGACCAATCCCTGATACTAATAATGTTCATGTGTTGCAATTGCAACTTGATGCGCATCTCAGACATACTAGCAACTAAGGCCCCGTTTAGATGGAACCCAAAAACCAAAAATTTTCAAGATTCCCCGTCACATCGAATCTTGCGGCACATGCATGGAGTACTAAACATAGACGAAAAAAAAAACTAATTGCACAGTTGATCGAGAAATTGCGAGACGAAACTTTCGAACCTAATTAGTCCATAATTGGACAATTTTTACCAAATAACAACGAAAGTGCTACAGTAGCCAAAAGCCAAAAATTTTTGGATCTAAACGCGCCCTAACTAAAAACTGCACAAGTGGGAGTATAATACAGGCCCTACCCTACCTATCTAATCCCCTACCGCGATTAGGTGTCAGTCACCAATGCAAAGAATAATAATTCCAGCTCCTGCTTCATGATTCTCCTCACATGCGGCTCATCACTCCGAGCAGCCAATGCAATATTGCTTGGATTAAACAATGGGCGCGGGACGGTGGTGATTCTGATTCATCAGAGGAATGAAAGGTTGCACGGGCAGCTGCTACTGCTGCTAGCTGTATTATTCAGGACAGTGAGCTGATGAACCACTGACAACTGATCATTTGTTACTATTTCCAGCGCAGAGTGCTTTGTGCTTAACAAATCCTTGCAGGCTCTGCACCTGTGCCTGTGCACCCAGGGCAGGGCAGCTGCTTCCAGGCAGCTGCAGCAGCTGCTGAGGTCTGAGGATCACTCTATCGATTCGCAACGGGCTCTGACAAATTGCAATCGTCCAAGATAATAATAAGCATTGTAATTTATATTAGTCGCTGTGATCTGATGCATGGATTAGCTACAAGATTAATTCGTTTTCAGAACCGAAGCAGCTGAAAGGATCAGGTTGGTGTTATCACCGATGCCAACGATTTCAGGCCTCGCGAGTCACCATCGTCGACGCATTTGTAAGAACCTGTTTGCGATAGATACCCACCAGTATGTCTTGGACTCGCTCTTGGCATTAGCATCAGCTGCTTGCATTGGCTCGTGTGTACACAAGTGACGGCCAATCCACGTTTGCATGCTTCAATTAACAATGGAATGCCATCTCAGTTCGTCTGAACTCGCATTGTGCAGGTCTGCAACGTACTTATCATATACTATATCCATCGGCCTGAAAAAACATCTCCGTGGCCTTATTGGCTAATTCGACAGTGACAATCCGTTTCAGATGCTTCAGGATGGGACAGGACGCATTGAGAATTCGGCTCGCTGAAACTTGACTGAATTGACTGAAAAACATTGTTCTGGATGAATTGTTGTGAGAGAAAAACAATATTCCGGCTGAAAAAAACAAGCTGAATAATGCGGATTACGAGGTAAGCCGAGACAAACGGCAAACCGCACGCCCCGGGAGATTACTGTACGACGATTTTTTTTAAACGAGAATTAACTCTGCTTTTACTAAAGCAACAGGTAACAACTGTGCGACGAATCGCATCAAATCTCCGTATATTTTGTCATTTTGGCGTTCTTTCAGCAAAAAACTCGTCGGTTGGATTGCAACATGAACAAGCTCCTAGAGTAGCTAGCAACTGTGCCAATGGCGTCCAATTGCCGCCACTGTTCCTTTTATTCCTTCTAATTCATCGCAGCTTGCATGCATCCATATGATTGATGGGTTTTATTCGATTCCTGCTGCCATCCACACATGGAAACACCGCTTTTGCCTCCTCGAGCTCCACGCCCGGCGAGTTCTTTTTCTCTGCATCCCTAATTTATCTGGTAGCTACTAGCAGCAGTTTCTTGCTTTGTTTTTGCGAGATCGAAACTCGTCGCAGGATTAGGGGATCGGTACCATAACCCTGCGTGTTTGCAACCTTTTATTTTAAACGCCCAGCGGGAGGAGTTCACGCCAAAAGACTAGTAGGTTCCACGTACATTCGCGTTTGTAGTAAGGCTATTTTACTTGCAAAAAAAAAAACAGTGTTCAAACCTTTTGGAGTTATAACAAGTCTAAAAAAATTCTAGCATAGTATCAAGTTAAATCATTATTTTCTAAATAAGTGTTATTTCTTTTTTTTAGATCGTGCCATGGCACGTTTTTTATTAAGCAGAAGTGAAATGTTTTGTTACAACACCGTGAAGCCACGGTAATCCAAGGTTATCGAAGCCCACAGCTACCGCCCCTCACCTTTCTCGCACGTAGTTATGATTACACAAGGACATTTTTTTCGCGACTCGAACAGGGAAAAAATAAGTGTTATTTCATTCGTCATGACATATATTTTCATATCGTACATACTTATTTTGTGTTAGAGATATGGATGCTCTTTTTTTATAAACTTGGTTAAACTTAAGAAAGACTGACTTGAGATAAAGCCAGAATTTTATATCTTTTCAAGATTGAGGCAGTATATTGCAGTAATAATTGAGAAAATATGTAACCAAGAATTATTTACTAGCTCTCGAAAACCTTGGCAAGGGGATTTTTTTTTTTGAAAAAAAATGAACATCTAAAGGCTTCTTTGGAATGTGGGAATAGGAAAAGGTAAAAATAAAATGCCATGAAACACAGTAATTAATATGTAAGATTGAATGTTTGGACAAAGCGTAGGAAAGACACAGAAATTTGATGAGAGTTTGACACGATGGTAACTTTTGCATGAGATTCAATCTGTTGATAGAATTCCTCTATAGTTCCTATCAAATAAGAAATTCCATAGGAATTTTATAGAATTTATAAGATGCCAATCTTTTATTCCAAAGGGCTTCTTAGACAATTTTCTTATTTCATTTCAATCATTTAGAATTCCTATTGGTGGTGGGAGTTGATAGAGGTAGTTGCTTGAAAGTTTGTTCTGTTAGTCTTATTATTCCTTTGTTTGAGTTATTGAGGGAATTAAGAGAGGAAATATGTCCTTTGTTTGTTGTGAGTGTTTGAGTGAAAAGTTATATCATAAGTTATGATAAAAGATGCGGATGCATCCATCTTTCATTTGACTAGCGAAAATTGCCCCCTCTCTCCTAAACTCTCATTCCTCATCCCATCAAAAGTTTCACTCCCACCAAACAAATGACATATTTAGATTTTAGAAACCTATATCTCTAAACTCCTATTTCCTCCACCAATTATCTCGAACCAAATGGACTGCGGAGGTAGAAAGATGAATCCAAGTCACTGAATCTTGAAGCAATGGCATTAGTAATGTTTGAGGCTGATATCGGTCATAAAATGGGTGCCATTGAGCATGAGGCTATCCATGTTATGTTTAAGATTGGGACCGGTCTTTAGGTGGGTAAGTCGTACCACTTCCTCAAACCTTTTTTAAAAAAAAGACCCTCACGCCTCTTCTTCCCCACTACCGCATCCGTCTGCCTCCCTTGCCTTCCCTTGTTCCCAGCATCCCTAGCGCCTTAAGCGGGAACTGCCGCTCACCTGCTACTTCCTCGGTGATGTCGGGGGCCATGGCACAATCCATGGCATTGCGCATAGGTGGTGACATGTCAAGGAAGGCGATAAAGTCGTAGTCAGGGGAGACGACGAGCCAGAGTTGCCTCCTTATCCAGTGATCGGTCAACGATGGCGGGGTCAGGGGGTTCGACGAAGACAACGAAGCCAAGGGCTGCCTCTTCCTCGGTGCTCGATGAACATTGCCAATGACACCAAGCAAAAACATTTATAAAGCCGGGTCTTATGGTTGAGGCTTGTCCTCTATCTCTTTGTGCTAAGGTTGCCCCTAAGGTGAGTGCGCAACATATGGTCGATCCTAAATTCCTTAAGACCTTATTTTCAAGACTGTAGCAGTAAGATGTTCAAGGGTGATACATACGTCCCTAATAATAATAATCACTTTTTCTATACAATAGTCGCCTGAATTTTGTGCTTTCTTCAAACAACGTGTCGCTCGCTGATATAGCTTCAAGATTTGTGCGTCTTTGAATCTAAGGGCCGATAACTGTTACCTGAAAAGAAGCAATATTTGAGGCACCTGAAATATAACAGGTCCCAATAATAACATACTAAGGGCCTGTTTGGCAGGGCCCTGGCTCCTCTGAAAATGGCTCCGACTCTGGCTCCTCTGAAGGAGCAGCTCCTCTGGAGGAGCTGAAGCCGTTCTGGAAAACGTTTAGCAAAACGGCTCCTTCGCACTAGACGACGTGAACCCACAGCAAGGAGCCGCGCGAAGCTCGTTTTTGAGGCTTCTCCTGCGCAGGCAAAAAATAGCTCCGGCTCTTGACCGGCTCCCCATGCGGAGCCCTTTCTAGAACAGGCGTTTGGCACAGCTCCTCAGAAGCCGGAGCTGAAGCCCTCACAGGAGCCCTGTCAAAGAGGCTCTAAAAACTAAAACAACTTGTTAGATGCAGAACAAGACAATTTTAGCGCGTGTTTAGTTCCCTGAATTTAGGAATTTGGGGGTACTGTAGCACGTTTGTTTTTATTTGGCAAACAGTGTTCAATCATAGACTAATTAGGCTTAAAACGTTCGTCTCGTAATTTTCAACCAAACTGTGCAATTAGTTTTTTTTTCGTCTACATTTAATACTCCATGCACGTATCGCAAGATTCGATGTGATAAATACTGTAGCACTTTTTTGGATTTTGGGTAGCAATTAAACACGCGCTTAAAAGCAGAAGGGTGCTGTCAGTGTTTCCCTAGCCGCGCCTCCTATATCTTCCCTGCAAACCCTCCTCGCCTCTCCATTAGTTATCCATTGCACGGTTGCTCCTGCTCGCTATTCTTAGCCCAGACAGCGCGCCACCACAACACATCCCGGCCGCGCGCTGCGTGCAGACACACGGCTGCCCCGGCCCGCGCACCCGTACGTGCCGTGCCGGCCAGCAGCCATGGACATCGACCTCGACCGGGCGCGCGCGCTTCGCGTCCTCGGCCGCGGCGCCATGGGCACCGTGTTCCTCGTCGCGGAGGCGGGCCCCTCGGCCTCGCGCCCCAGCCGGTACGCCCTCAAGGTCTTCGACAAGCGCTCCGGCAGCAGCAAGCCCGACGCCGACCGCCGCGCGCGGTGGGAGATCAACGTGCTGTCCCGCCTCGCGCACCCGCACCTCCCCTCCCTCCTCGGCTTCACCGAGACGGACGACCTCCTCGCGTGGGCCGTCCCGTACTGCTCCGGCGGCGACCTCAACGAGCTCCGCTACTCGCTCCCCGACCGCGTCTTCTCCCCCGCGGCCATCCGCTTCTACATTGCCGAGATCATCTCCGCGGTCGCCGAGCTCCACGCCGCGGGCGTCGTGTACCGCGACCTCAAGCCCGAGAACGTGCTCCTCCGCGCCGACGGCCACGTCACGCTCACCGACTTCGACCTGTCCCGCCTCCTCAATCCCAGGTCTGCGGACTCGCCGCCGCCTCCGCCGCCGGCGTCATCCCGCGGCCACAACAACCGCCGGTCGCGCGTCCCCGTGCGGAGCGACTCGGTTCTCGGCCAGGCCAAGTCGTACTCCAACTCCAACTCCAAGCCCCCTCATCAGCCGTGGTCCGCGGCGGCGTCGCCGCGGCAGCAGCTCCAGAGCCTGGTCCGGTACATCATGGGCAGCGGCGGCGACGGAGCCGGGGTGGGCAGCAGGAAGAGCAAGTCGGCGCGGGTGTCGCCCGTGAGCCGGAAGCCCGCGAGCTTCGGCGGCTGCGGCTCGGGCGCGTCGGCCGCCGCCGCCGCGTGGGGCAAGTCCTACTCCTTCGTGGGCACGGAGGAGTACGTGGCGCCGGAGATGGTGCGCGGCGAGGGCCACTGCTTCGCCGTCGACTGGTGGGCCGTCGGCGTGCTGGTCTACGAGATGGCGTTCGGGCGGACGCCGTTCAAGGGGCAGAACCGCAAGGAGACGTTCCGGAACGTGCTGCAGAAGGAGCTCGAGTTCCCGGGCGACAGCCTGCGACGGACACCGGAGCTCGCAGACCTCATCTCGGGCCTGCTGGAGCGGGACCCGAGGAGGAGGCTCGGGTACGCCGGCGGCGCCGACGAGATCCGCGCCCACCCGTTCTTCGCCGGCGTGGCGTGGGACATGCTCATGGAGGTGTCCCGGCCGCCCTACATCCCGCCGCCGGCCGACGAGGACCTCGCGGACGGCGCCGAGGGGTTCGACGTGAGGGGCCACTTCAAGGACCTTCACCAGCCACCGCCGACGAAGTCTGCATCGGAGTCGTCCTCGTCGGACTTCTCGACGGAGTTCTGAGCTCTGACGGACTAGCTCCTCTTGCGCTTTGGTCCTCAGTAGATTACTGTATTGTAACCAAAGGATCGAGGGTGCATACATGGAGGCGGGGATGGTGCTGTAAATTCGAGGTAGAGTCGGTGGGGTTGTGCAAACATTTTAGGAAGGGCTGGCTGGCGCACGTGTGGGCTCCGGGCTCGCGCGCTGCGCTCGAGGCATTTTTCTTCGTGTGATTTTTTCGCTTGGCTTGCAAGCGATGATGACCTGATTACCGAAGAAAAAGAAGGATAACGTGACTTGGGCAATTTTACTGCTTATTTACTCCTACAGCGTACACGCAATGATGAATTCACGAGAGAATTCTGATGCGAATTAAAGTAGTGTAGTTCTTGTTTCATAGACCGGGCAATGTGCAGTGCTCTGATCATCATAATACACAATCTTTAGTTGAGCCACTAACAGAGGCGAGCAAGCTAACCGCCTCGGCGCAAAGGTCACGGTTAATCATGGCCTTAACCGAGACGGTTGGCCAACCGTCTCAGTTAATAGATTAACTGTGACGGGCATCATAAGCTAACTGCATCGGTTAATACATGTTAACCGAGGTGATTGTCGTAACGCGCCCGCCTCGCTTAAGATTTTAACCGAGGCGGTTGAATAAAGACGTCTGTCTCGATTAAGATTTTAACCGAGACGGTTTTTATTACTTGGCCGCCTCGGTTAATGATTTTCAGATTAAAAAAAAGCCTTTTCAAATTAGAATTTAAAATTTCGCTAATGAAAACACAGATAAAACAAAAAATAGATGACAAACATATATTACATTCATTCTCGTTCGATGAACCGACATTAAGTTATTACATTAGTGATGTCTTTATCATTGTTTCACAAACACAAATCATTCGTATATCAGCAACTAAGGTCATTCATACATATCATTTTTTACCAGAAAAGAGGTTCGGCAGAATGTAATCCGAGATTCGCAACTTGGTGCTCCAGTTTCTAATCCTCTCGAACTTTGGATCCCGCGCTAACTCACTTTTTCGGTTGAAGAACGTATTCCCTTCATGCGTGCTCTTTGTGACAAACTTACATATGTCTGCTACTGTTTGTCTAAAGTCATGGTCGACTTTCTCCCTTCGCCACCATCCTTGTGCTTTCTTGTGTTGCCGCCAGCTGCTGCTGAATCTGCTGCACGTCCTTAGGTACTCGCAAACGTAGAATCCACATAGAACTGAGCCATAGGGTTGTTTAGCTATTACACGATGTATAATACACAATCATTAGAGCATATATAATAAACAATCAGTAGTAGTAGTAGAACTAGTAGTAGTGAGTAGAGTAGAGTAGTAGTAGATGGAGTAGTAGTAGGAGTACTAGAGTAGAGTAGAGTAGAGTAGTAGGTGTAGTATTAGGAGAAGAGCAGTAGTAGTAGTAGAGTAGTAATAGTATTGGTACTTACCGGGAACTCACGTCTGAGTTTCAGCTTCGTGTCATTCTTGATCTTCCTTTTCTCAGATCTCCGATCATAGCAGTCGGGATCTTTCACATACTTCTTATAAGCGTTGTACGAAAAATCACTAGTGTCAATGATATTTTCAACAAGTATGTTAACTGTAAATGAATAAGTTCCGTCACTATCTCAAACAGCTTTCAAATTGCTTATATATATATATATATGTTTCAAGTATCTTTTGGACTTACCTGAACTGGTGGGCGGCCATGACGCACCCATTTCCCCGGGCCTTCTTCATGGCCTCATAGATGTACATTTCCGTCCGATACTTATATTCGATTACCAGATCTTCCCTGTATTTCTTTCTTTCCTCCGGGTTCAAATTCACCAGCTTTTCATGAGTGTCTGGTATATCGTAACCCACGATGGTTCTCTCTGTAATAAGCATCAGAGAGAGAGAGATAATATCCTTGCCCAATTCTTTGCTTACATACGCCTGCATCCTGCAAGGAAAAGTCATCATGACATTATTAGTTTGTTTCTAAAGTACCTACAACGATGCAGTAGTGTCAAAGTCATAAGTAACTTACAGGGCAAATAAGGTGACTTGGGCGACGTCAAGGTCCTTTCACCGCAGTAGTCTATGCATGTCGTGGAAATCTACGATGACTTCACCATCCATGGGCATGTGGAAGTACTCCACCAGAATGTTGATGACGAAGTTTTCCAGGCCCACTTTCGCTGCTTCCATGTACCACAGATGGAACCTCCTTACATCCCACTTCTCTTCAAGGAGGTCGCCCAAGGTCAACATGAACTTCCCATGCACGTAGTTTTTGGGGCAATCATCCGACCGGGGCCAAAACAACGGCAGTGTTTTTGGCCAGCAACACCGGGGCTTAAGACGTTAGGGAGTGGAAACAGCAGATAGCATCTCGAAATGAATTATAGATTGACTATGCTTGCTAGTAGCATACCTTTCAAATGTAGTTGAGTATGGGTGCTCGTCGGCTATTTGATAGGCCACCCAACTCGACTTGGTGTGGTTCGGGGGTATGGCCTCCTCTTCATCTACAGGCTTCCTCGACGAAGAGGACATTGGTTTGAGCACTGCTTTGAACCACTTGTAGGCAGTGGTGTCACATCGCTCGATGCTACCCTCGTGCTTCCCTATGGATTGCTGTTGCTGGGAGGCGGACTGCCTGGAGGACTGCTGCCTAGGCCGTCAGCATCGTCGTTGTCATCGCCACCACCGTCGTCATCACCCAGGTCACCTGGGGGAGATGACGACGGGTGTGAGGGCTGTGACGCTGGCATCGCATGTCCAAGACAATGTCGCTCTTGTTCCATAGCATGTGCATGCCAATAGTAGCGCCGATGAACCTATACCCCTCTTCAGTGGGAATGTCGATTTCATCCTTGTCAAAATCTTTGTTGGTCCTCGTCACATCGACCCGGGCATAGTCGGGTGGGATCGGCTTGACGTCGTACATGGTGCCACTTTTGGGCGATAGTGCCACTCCCGTGGCCACGTCCTTCTTCCTCTATGCCCTGCCGAAGGGCACTTGGAGCGTGCAGCTCATTGGTTCAATGATGTCATCGACCGGATACCTGGGGAGTTGTTCGGTCCACGGCACCATCTGCCCTTGTACGGTGGCTTGACCCTGTGGCAGCAGCACAGTAGCTTGGTGAAACATCTACGTCCTCAGCTCCACCATCTTGGGGTCGGTGCTCGTGAAAGCGTCTTATATCTTCCCCATGATCATGTCCTTGACTGCCTCATCACGACCTTTCTAGAGGAGCCCTTCCTTGTACCTTTGCCTCGTGTGGTAAGAGTTGGCGTCGGATTGCCAGGCCTCCATGTCCTTCTAGCTCTGCCTCAAGGAAACCCCACGGACGTGGCCGCGGTGTTTGGGGTTTCCCAGCACCTCTGTTAGTACGTCCCTCTCTCAGCGAGATTCAAAGGACCCGCTCTTCTTGGCCATAGAGACCTCCAAGATCCTCTTCACCACCTCCTCGACCTTTGGCTCATTGTACTTGGTCCTACCCTCCTTTAGCTTTTTTTGGCTTGTGGGCATAGAGGTAGTTACATGTCCTCTCATCGACGCCCTGTAATGGATTTGGCTACCCAGCCTTAGCGGCCACCCTTTCTTCTTGGTGCCACTTCTTCGTCTTTGCTTCATACCCTGTCATGCCTAGGTGGTGGTGGAGCTCGTTCCTCTTTGCAAGTTCAGAGAACTTCTCGCCCTTGGCCTTTGCTTCTTCGGTTGATTGTTTCATGATGAACTCTTCCCAGACGTCACGCGTGATGAAGTTGTAGTCTTCGAATGGTGTCCTCACTTTCTACATGTACTCCCTATTGAGCATGGACCTGAAGTTGTGAAGCGCTTTGCCTGCAACAAATAGCGCATGCCCCATGCACTTGTCTTCATCATAGCCCTCCATTGGATACGTGAATCACCTCTTCACCTCTCCCCACACATTTCCCTTGATGTCCTTTGGGACTTTCCTCCAATCATCATATGTTATAGGCACCTTCTCCCTGACTATACAAGAACACTAGTTGCCGAAGGTGCCAATGATGATAGTTGGCTCCAAGGGCTCTCCTTTCGTCCCTATCTTGTGTATCGCACACACTTTCTTCTTGCTAATCTGATGCCTCCCGTGTTGGCCCCTCTTCAAGTTTGACTTCTTCTTACTACCCATCGTTGCGGTTGAATGAAGTGCCCGAGGAGGGACCAGGTGCTTCCTCCTCCTCCCCTTCTTTACCATCGGGGTACTCCAAATGAAGAGGCACCATCGGTATTTGTCGACGACAAGAACTCGCATTAGTTATATACTTGCGTGAGGCCCGCGAACATTGTGTCAATTAATGTGTGGTAGAACCGCCCGAAATAGCACGCTTTCAGAGGCGCTCGTCTTTCACCAGACACTAAGCACCAGGAAAGCTAGCTACATCGGACGGTTTCATCTAGCACACCCCAAGGGAGAACTAGAACAATCCACATTTTTCCTCTAGGATCCAATAATAAGAACGAGTTTACATTACTTAGTCCATTTCATACAACAAAAGTTCTCAGAAATATATTATTACAATACCATGTTTAGAGTGTGGAATTTAAACAGCGGAATTAAAATAAACATCTAACGGTGTGATACAAGGATCCATTTGTGCCCACCAGAAGAATCCTCCACACAACAGTCATTCTTCAAGCTGCACCTACAACAGGGGTAACAAACACTGAGTACACAATGTACTCGCAAGACTTACCCGACTAGGGGGAATAATTTCTGACTCCAAAGGATATGATAAGCTTTATGGTTTGTTGGGTTTCCTTTTTGCAAAAAGCCTTACTAGTTGTGCATCCTTGTGTATGTTTCTTATTAGCAGTCATGATTAGTTCATGATCTAACCATTCTATGTAAGCACATGTTCTACTTTCAAGCAAGAGTTGAGCAATCAGATCCAATTCACCATCTTTCATCTTTCAGTTCTTACAATGGTGCTAGATCGTAGACAAGTCGTACCGTATTACACGGCGATTCGTGAATCAATGTAGCCTAG